ATATTTAATAATTAACCTCCATTAACGTATTTTTTTATGTAATGATATTAATTAATTAAAAGAAATAAAGAATTCAAGAAAAAAGTCTTCCATTAGATATTGATTTACTTATGTAAATCAAAAAGGATATCCACAGGCAAAGAGCCCAAATATCCACGACTAGGATTAACGATATTGTAAATAAATATGTATACGTACATATATGTAAACTATGTATCTAATTATTATGTACTCACATATTTATGGGAAAATCTATTGAACAATGTAACATACTAATTATTCTATTAAGTAATTTGATTTGATGATTTTTTAAAAAATTACTGAGTTACTGAACAAATCATTATTAGCATATATCGATGTATATGTTGAAAGAATTTGACTAACTTGCATACCAAGATAAATAATTGTTTCTCAAGGTCCCAGGGCATATATTAAAAGTAATGTCGGATAGAATATCAGGCACGTCCATCAAATTATTGATGATTTTAAACAGAAACACAACGTATCTACCTGCTCCCGACGAGTTGCGAGTGAGTGTAATGATTTCATAGCTTTCAAAGCGAAAAACTGTTTACATAGTCTTAATATGAAACCGAGATTTGATTGGCCAGTCTACATGCAATTTGTCCATAATTGTGCCTAAATCTTTGACAGAATCTGGTATTTCATATTTGGCCTATAAAATATTTGACGCTGGGAGAGAACTGTATGCCATATTCAGACTGATGCATAATTTATCCGCCATAAAGAAACAGGATGTTCTATAAAAAGGATGTGCTCAATGAATATGGTGGAAAACTTATTTTGCTACAATAGTAACAAATTGTCAGCAGAGGTTGTTACAAATGAAAAAAAAAGAGCGCGTAACAATTTAGCAGTTATTAAAAGGAAATTATTTAATATTAAGGAAGAATTGGGTAATCAATTATAAATAAAATATATATGAAAGCGCCTTCTGTTGATTCAGCAGTTTTTCGAAAATGCAGTTTTATTTTCCCGCATTTTTTTAGTGGCCATACATTTAAATTATATATGTAAACAATCCGGTTTAACAATTTATTCAAAAGATAAGCAATGGGTACCAAAAAGTCAACGGAATATTCCCTCACACCTAGTTGGAAAATAAAAACGTCAAAACAAATTTATCTCCGACCGATTTCAAGAGGCGAAGCCAGAAAACTAATGTTTAGGGAGCATTAAAGTGGGACGACAATAGAAAGAACTATTCGTGTGGGCCACACTAATAGTCATTCGAAAATTTATAGTATTGTTATCCGGCGAATGGCGTCAACATGCATTCGAAAATGCAAATTCTTTTAAAAGCTTTGCTATGTCACTTTTCAACTTTCAACACAAATGGGGGGTCACGTCAACGAATAACAACGCGCTTTGTTGTACGTTGGTGTCTATACGTTAGTTTTAGACAAAAACATTTTCGAATTTGAAAACATTGCAACTCACGATAACAGTAAACGTTTGCGATTCTCGGGTCAGAGAAATATGGATTTTTTTTAAACTTTCAACTAATGACCATATAATAATAACCTATCTTAACAATATGAAGTGAAATATCTGAATAGCCGAAGAAGCTCGCAAAAATTGCAACATTTTTTCCGAATTCATAAACCCATATGCTTTACTCACACTGTAGAATGGTAAAATTAACGTTATATATAGAAAAGTTCCTGACTGAGATAAAACTGACTGTAGTAATTATAGAGTCATAGCATTACTAGATGTTGTATATAAAACATTTACAAACATCCTAAGGAAAAGACTCACGGGTGTTTAGGAAAGTGTAGTAGGGGAAAACCAGGGGGCATTCGGAGGAGGAAGAATTAGCAGTGGTCAAACTTTTCCCTTAAAATGATTCAGGCTAAGACGTTAGAGTAAAACCTAAATCTGTATTTATTATTTATAGACTTTAAGCAAGCTTATGACTCTATCAGCAGAGTATCCCTTTTCAGGGTGTTGCAAAGACTTCAAGTCCATAGGAAGATCCCCAGATTAATTAAAATAACTTTTTAGTAATACACAGAACAGGGTGATGGTTGGTAGTCACTTGTCGGAACATTTTCAGGTGGGTAGAGGTCTCTGACAGGGAAACCAGTTATCGACTTCGCTTTTTATTTTGGTCTTGGAAATGGTACTTAGAGATAGTGGAATCGATAGAAAATGAACAATCTATGATAGCAAACATCAATGTTTGCCTACGCAGGTGATATAGTCCTCAGAAATTATGTTTAAAAAGACCTTGAAAAAACTGTAAAATATTACGGGTTGATGATTAATGAAAAAATGATGAAATACCTGCAAATTAACTGCCGGAAAAATTCCAATTAAGCATATGTCACATTTAAAGCGGAAACTAGGGAATATAGCTTCGAACGTGTTTATTAACTTGAGTATTTAGTAGTTCAATTTGGCGCAAAATGGGGAAAAGGAGTTCGAAATAAAAAATAGAATTGCCAAGCGAAATAAAGCCGCTGGGGCTTTAAATAAAAAGCCAAAGGTATCAAGAGCTGCCAAGAACTGAAACTTGGGTGATGAACAGAAAAGAAGAACAGAAATTAGCAATCTGGGAAAGAAAAATCTTAAGGAAAATCTATGGTGGGGTTAAAGTAAATGAAACCGAATGGAGAAGAACTAACGAGGAAATTAAATCACTATTCGGACAACCAGTTATAATACGGGAAGTGATGAAGCCGAGGCTGAGCTGGTTAGGGCATGCGGATGAATGGGGGTATAAATGAGCAAAAAGGATATTGGAAAGTGGGGATGGAGGAAGGATGGCCTGTAGCACTTTTATATGTATATGTATATAAACTATATATGTATATAAACAAAAATGGATATTGTTGTTATAGGTCGATCGATTTTGCATTCATAGCCAAAAACTTTTAAGAAAAAAAAACTCTTGAAACAATAACATATTTGTTATAAAAATTCGCTTGTTTTAATATATTCTTACTGCCGACATGCTCGCGAAGTCGATTTTTGCAAAGTCAAGTTCCTTTAAAAGTTATAGAAATGTTATCGAAATATCTTGTTTTCCACGGGAAGTTTGAGATTGAGTTTACGACAGTTACGGGATCTAAGGTATCCTTTGAAAGCTCCATAATAAGTATGCCATGATAAAAATTGTTTGAAAACAAAGTTTGCAAATTGAGACCCGAGGCATCATGAATCTAGCAAGTTTGAACTAAAAAATTATCAGCAGTCAATTTTGTTCGTATTTTAACAACACGTCATCACGTAAAATTTATATTTTCGTAAGGGTCAGCGTAAATTGCCCTCTTCCAATAACAGGCCCGTAACACTGTCAGTTTTTTTTATCTACTTTAAGGGAGGCAACTGCATTCTGCTGGCATGCACCTGACAGGCATCGAATAGAGGTCTAAAAAATATTTCGCTTAGCAGTTTCGGTAGTCAAAGAGTTTTTTAGGACTGAGCGGATATTCAAAGCGATTTTTGGATGAAGTGAAGTGAACCGTTTAATATTTGGTGGAATCAGCAATATGTGCATCAAATTTTTCCAATTTTGCTGCAAAAAAATTAAACCCTAAGACAATGGTGAAGAGACTCAAAATATGCTACGAAAGGATATTATTTTCCAAAAGTAAACTAAATGCGTTGTGGATTTTTTTTATTGTTAATAAATATTATGTGGTGTCTGCACAAAAATAATGTCCAAAAATGTGACTTTACATCCTATTCAATCTACAGTTCTATTAAAGCTATTGTAAAAAGTGATTTTGCATTACTAAATTTAAATATTCTAATTTCGGAAAATCTAGAATGATCCAGGAATGGAATTTTTCTTTTTCATAAAATGTTATCTGATTTGAATAATTTTAGAAATATATAAACGCATTGGTTTAGATTAAATACTGATCAGAAGCTAATACTAATATTAATAATTGAAACACATTATTTTTTTGCTTACAATGTCATTATTCAAAACAAGGAACTTTTATTTTAAATAGCATAGTTGGCAACATCCATCAATTCATCATCCATCTTTCCTGCTATTTTGAGTGGTGTTCATATTTAGTCTGCTTTTGTTTGGCTGTTCTCAGTTTTGCTAAGCTTGCTGGAGATTTTTCGGGCAGCAACGTTCTAGGGTTACATTACGAAACAATGTAAAAAAAAAATGCATTTGTATCGTTCTGTCTTGTTGTTTTGTTAAAATATCTTCTATGTCTACCACCTTACGGTACTAAGCTTTAGGTGCCCTAAATAAACCTGATGATGTTAAAGAATTTTTATTAGGTCGTATTTCTAAGTAATCCTTAAAAAAATCCTTTATTTTTTATAATTTTGAGGGGCTACGGCTATTTTGCTCAACTGTTGTTTTTTTTTATTTTTTTTATTTATGGGTAAAATTTCTTCAGCATCACGTCACTATTTACAAGAATATTATCATAGGATTATAAAAAAGTGATTTACAAATAATTAAGTTGAACAGTTGAATCTAATTATTAAGTACTGCGGAAGCGAAAAAAACGATAGGTTGTAATTTTTCTCTCAAGTATTGGAAAATATTATTCCAGCCGATTTCTCAATCGAAAGCCTACGGAGTGTGTAGTGTTGGCGATTTCATGGTACGTGCGTTACATTGTGCAATTTTAAGGCGCACCTTTGAAACTGCATTAGGGCAGTGAATATTTCAAAAATCTGTATTTATTTCGGCATCGCTATATGCCATGCAAATTTATGGAAAGTTATACGACGCGGCATTTTTAATCGCTGGGAAAACCGGTATCAAATTTTTATACCCCTGAGTACTAAGCGGCGGGTTAAAATCACCCTACAACAAGCATAAGTAAATAAAAGTTTTTTTTTTTAATTTAAATTTATGCGAAAATCGCGTATTAATAGTTTCAAGTTTTTTTTTTACAAAAAAAAGTTCACGATTCTCGTGGTCCATATGGTTCGAGCTCTTCTTCCATTAGGAAAAATATAAAATTTATTTACAAAAAACACTACTTCCAAATTACCTGAATTCCAAAATGCTAATGCGACGGCCACCGGCAGCAAAACGTTTCGGTACGGCATATTAAGACCACTCACAACCAATCACAATCACCAAATTCTCAACCAAAACCAAAATCACCACGTCAGTTGTGCTTACTTTTGCCTCCCTCCCTTTTGCAGAAAAAATATCACAATTAATTATTGACAGTTAATGCGAATTAATTATTATATATTTTTTTAAATTTAGAGTTTATTTTCCCATATTTTTCGTGTCGGGGTTTTTATACGATGTGTCCTCTGGAGCGCGAAGTCCGCGTAATTTCAGCAAACGAGGGCAAACTCGTGAAATACCTCTGGAAATGTGCATCAGGCGAGAAACCTCGTGTGACTAGAGGCGTCGTCGCCGTCGCGACGCCTCGGTGCGTCCGTACTTGGTTCCGATCGCTCCCTCTAGCGGACCGAGCCTTTACTCTACATAGTTTTATGTTTTGTATCGACCTCTTCACCGCGAATTTTCGTGACCCATTCTTGGACACACACACACACACACACACACACACACACATACATACACATACACACTACAACACATCCCTCCATTCCTTTATCATACCTCTCTACATTTCAAAGATTTATAATCACCCCGTCGTTGTTTATTTGTCTTTTGATTTACAATCAAAGTGACTCGGCGGAGATATTCGTACTCCTTTCATTTTTAGGAGAACTTATTCTTCTATATTTTCTTGTCGCTACCGTAATTGTTGCCACTAATTTAAAATCGGAGTCTTCAATAAGCTGGGATACCTGGAATGTCGAAGTACCTAGATAATATTTCAGTGTTGAAATTACAGAAAGTCAGTGCGGTTTTAAACAAAAGTTAACTACTGCGAATGCTCTTATAAGTGTCATTGATGATATTGTCCGAGCCACCGACAAAAAACTAATGAGGGCCTTAATACTTTTGGATTTTTCGAAGGCATTCGATACGGTGATATTCGAAAGAAATTGAAATTTTTTCTGGGGTGCCGCAACGTTCCATTTTGGGGCCGTTATTTTTTTTCATTTTACACTTCTGACATTTTAAAATCTTTAAATTTTTGCAAAGTTTGGGCATGTGCCGACGATACTCAATTGTATTGCTGTTTTGATTTTAATAGTAGCATAGATGCAGAGGTATTTATAAATCGAAATCTTTACAGGATTAGTGAACTTTCTCGTGCCCATAATTTAAAGCTAAACCCATCAAAATCGCATTTAATGATATTTGGAAATAAAAATAAAGTTAAGCTACTTAAACAAAATATTAATATAATGTTAGATAAAACATAGTGAATATTTAAAAAATGTGTTTCGAAAGGCATATGTTTCACTAAAAATCTTATATAGTAACAGGCATATTTTAAATTTTAGACCAAGGAAACAATTATGTGAGTCACTTGTGCTCTCACATTTTAACTACTGCGATGTAGTGTATGGTTTTTTTATTGATAACGAGTGTAAGTGCGGTATTCAATGTTTGTGTTCGTTTTATTATGGGTCTTCGAAAATATCACCGTGTATCTGCTGCATATCGTCAACTTAATTGGCTTAAAATGGAACAAAGAAGAGCTCTTCAATTCGACATATTCGTTATGAAAATTATCCATAACCTCGATTCACCCACTTTGCTGAGAGTGCGGCTTACTCCTAGGGTTACCATCCATTCTGTGAATATTAGATACAGTAACAGACTAACCATGCCACATCATCAGAGTGCCTTGTTTCGTAGATCTTTCACATTCAACGCAATTCGTGTTGTTTTCCTAATAACGTGTTGCTAATTATTTTATTAGCAAGGGATTATATTGAGTTATCAAATTCTTTATTTTCAATTGCATTTTCTGTAATTTGCAGTAGAGTTATGTTGTTCTTCCGATTTTGCATGTATTTTTCATGTTTTATTTGTGGTTCATCCATTTTTTATTTCAATAAATAGTGCGCAATTTATTAATTATATAAATAAGTTCTTTAGAGGTTCAGTAGAGTAGCTATTTAAAGCTAGACTGCGCCGCTTTTGAGCTATCCGTTTACTTTGTTGTGAAAAATGTTCTTATTGTATATTGTTTTTTTTTTGTTATAATAAAGGCTGTTTATTATTATTATTAAAAGAACATTCGTTGTCGTTATTTGACAACGTTTCAGACAGATGCATCATTTTCCTTAAGTATTTATTTTGCGAATAAACTCCAGTTGACACTTGATAGATTAATTTATCTGAAATGTTGTGTAAGTCGAATAAAGGCAATTGATGTTCCAAGTTTTAGATTCATCGGGTAAATATTTAGGTCTACAATGTCACAGTCAATATAAGTTATAATGTTTTCTTCTCTGGCATTTTCCCAGTTTCCGCGGTCCTTGTTCTCCTCAATTCTCTTATTTTTCATTCCCCTACTCTCAAGTCCCTGACTAGCATTGGATGTCTAAGTTATATTTCGATTGTTAGTGTCCATCTTCACCTGGAAGCTCTCATTCTAGAATTCCTTTTGGCATTCTTCGGATATGTTTTCTAGATTTCTTGTTATTGATCATTCTACTCCCATACGTTGCCATATAACTGCGGTTCTTTATCTCCTCCTATAATCTAATTCGTCTTATTTTGCTACTTTTGTTCCATGTAAGGTGAATATACTGTATTTTTCTTTTTTTGGTTTTCATTAGTCGAAGCGTTGTTCCATAACAGCCCATGTTATAGCTGTTGTGGCTCTCATTTTAAATTATTTTCTCAACTGAATGAGTTAATAAATATTTAGCTAAATAGCCCCATAATCACGTTTTTTAAAGAGATCAGTTCTCTTTTAATCAACCGTTTTTTCCCAAATGTTTAATAATAAGGTAGTTCTGATTTCAGTACTATATTCAAGTGAGCATAATTTTTTTATCTTAACTTCATAGTTAGCTTGCTTGCTTGCTTCTTCTTGGTATTGCGAGAGTGTGGAAATAACTTTCAACGCTCCGCTGATAATTTTGTTTAATAATAAAAAATCCGAATTGCAGTTTAA